TGGTGCTGGGGCTTTGTAGCAGTTTGGGAAGGCAGGCGATGATCATCAGGCAAACCTCTGTCTAACTGCAGCACAAACTCTCATGATCATGTGGGAAGTAAAAGTGGTGGCGTGTCTGCTCGCGGCCTCGTTCATTCGCGCGCGGCTCGTCACGCACAGACCGGAGCGGGAATGCCGGGATGCGTGTGATGCGTCCCGCTGCCCGCCCGCCCCGGACTCCTGCTACTTCGGCGTGGTGAGGGACGCGTGCCGCTGCTGCGCGGTGTGCGCATCTGGCGAGGGTGACCCGTGCGGTGAGCGGGGCCGCGCGCGCTGCGGCGATGGCCTGCGCTGCGATCGCACGGCGGGGGCGCGCGCGCGCACGTGCGCGTGCGTCACCGCTGGACCCGTCTGCGGAAGCGACGGGCGCACGTACCCGAGTGTGTGCCGCCTCAGAGCCGAGAACCGGAAGGCCGAGCGGAGCCGCGCGCCCGCTGTCATTCCTATCCAAAAAGGCGCGTGCGAGTCCGGTGAGTAAACGAGGCGCGCGCTCCTGTCTCATACTCTCTGCAACACCCTTTGCACCCCCGGTGTAATTATTATTATTATTATTAATAATAATAATAATAATAATACTAAATTAAACAATTCAGCATAAGACAGATATGGTTATGTTCAAGAGTAAAATAGTCTACTGTTAAAAGGAAATGAATAATTATTAATAATTTATATAAAAACAATTAAATAACAGCAATAAGGTAAGCAAGGAGGTAAATAATTAAGTTAATTTAAAAAAAATTAACAAATAAATGTTGTTGATGTTTACCTGCTTTATTACTTTTAAGAACGAAAAATTACCTGTTTGTGCCACGAGTCCCCTGGAATAGGCCCCCGGCTACCCCACGACCCTGTGTAGGATAAGCGGTACAGAAAAAGGATGGATGGATACATATATAAAAGTTAATGAGTAGTTTACAAGCTTTAATACTCTTTAAAAACAAGAAATGGTGGGTGTATCCAAGAAATTTATATTAATATTTAGCCAATATAATGAGGTTCAGCATAACGAAGACCCAGATGTAAAACCCAAATTTAGTTTCTTCCACCTTATCAAATAAAAAAACTCAAAAAGTGGCATTATTATTCATTATTAGAAATTAGTCATTTAAAGTCAAGTTTTGTTGCTGCATCACACTTACTGGAGATTATAAGGACAGACAAGGCAGGAAACTTCCTGGTCTCCCGGAGGAAATGTCCTCCAGGAAATGTCAAATGTCACAAAGGGGAAAAGACAAAGGCTTGAGAAAGACGGGCTGAATCTCAAAGGCTTGAGAAAGACGGGCTGAATCTCGTTAGTGTGTGTGTGTATAATTTGTGTCTATTTAAATGAAGATGTGCATGGAAGGTAAAACGAAGAGGATTTACCTATAAGGAAATCAAAAAAAAAAAAGAAAGAATAAAGAGAAGAGGAAGTAAAATGTTCAGTAAAGTTCACTAAACTTGACTTTGCACTAAGATAAAATGATACATACATAAGCTCTAAATAATTTTGGTAAGACGCACATCTACTTACAGTAAAATTAATATATGAATATGTATATAATATATAGAAATATATATAAATAATACATGTGTTTTATAAGTAATAAGATTGAATTGCTACTGCACTTTCGATATTTTTGAAATGTACAGAGGTCTACTAACATGAAAGCAAGAGTATACAGGACAAAAATAGCACACCATAAGGTATTACCTTAACTTTATTTAAAATTACAAACCTAACTGCACCGCATTGTTCCTTGTTTCCTGAACAAAATACAATTTAAAACAGAATTCACCCTTATATGTGCATTTTACTGGGTTCCGTATATACACTGCAGTGAGAAAGGTGAAGCCGGCAATGGGAAAGTCAGGCAGGCAGGAGTCGAACTTTACAACTTCATGCAAAATTAAAACAAGGCCCCTCATGAAAACGTAACAGGAGGCGTTTATGTGATAATGGATTTATTGGTATTCCTATAAAACTCTGAATAGGATAAAAAATGGGACCGCATTACAGAACTCTTTTAATGTCAGGAGAACTTTAATAGCTCTGAGTCCACTGAACAATGCTGACAATACATTTTTGTTTCATTTTTGCTGTAACTATGGACTTCTATCAGCCTTTATACTGTAGCCTTATGATATTGTACTATTGTGAGCCTGACTATCAATTTAACATCAACTTTACAAGAAATGTATGGTTCTGGAAATTTATTTAAGAATAATTATATGACTCTATAGCTAGAACAAGCAGCATTCAATTAGTTTTTCAAATTCATCACATATGACATAAATGTTAGAGGCATATGTCATGCAGGAAAATGATTGACATGATAAGAAGGTTATGATAATCTGAAACATGACTTTTTTTCAAACTATAATCAAATTTTCAGCTCAGATATTTTCATTTTGTCCTAGTTTAGTTTTATCCTAGAATCAGAATTCTAGTTTCTGATTGGTCAGAGGATGTTGATTCTTTTTCTATAACAGCAGCTCTGACAAATCACAAGATTATATTAATGCGCTTCTTCTAATATGTTATGGTTTCTATAGTAACAACTTACACAATGACTTATATGGTGGACGCTCCACATAATCTAATAATGATTGGATTTTTAAAAAAATGCCATTTAACAAAGAACAATGTATAATTGTTGATATGGTGAAGTTTTCTGTGAGTTGTTTATTAAGCATTTATAGAAGGAGTCTCCAGTGTGAGTGCTTTGTAACAGTCAGAGGTAAAGTGGCATAAAGTTGCTCCACCATGGGAAAGTCTTCAGGACAGAGGACGATGCTGTGATTTGCAGTTTCTCAGTAACAAGACACATATATTTTGTCTCACTTACTTTAAAAGAGAGAATAAAATGTTTTATGTTTCAAAACGTTAAATTTGTCATTCTTTAATTAATAAAAAAATGTAATCATTGACAAATTGGTGTGGTATAAGAGGAATAAAGCACTTTGGGGTGTGCTGTTATCGGAAAGTGATCAACTTCAGGGTGCTCACTTTTCTGTAACTGCAGGCTCCAAAATGTTTTATTTCTTACATATTTTATCTTTGTAGTTCTTTAGATAGGACAAGATATAAAAGACAACTTAAGCCAGTCCTGCGTTATTGTAAACCTAATGTCCTTTGTACCCCATTTATTAATCAAGCAAAATAATATATATATATGCAAAAAAATTTAGAAATTCATATCTAATTTTATTTATGTACATTAAAGTAAAAGTTACATACATGCTTACAGGTCACAACAGAAACATAATGCTGAATTTAAAACCTATTTATGTTTATAGTGACTCTGATCTGCTGTGATTGCAAGACTTTATAATAACCTGACTAAAAGGTCATGGTTGCTTTTTCATTGCCCAAGGCTTTCTGTGAGCATTCATTTCAAGTCCGAACTTTAGTAACATGAAAGCAGGTAAATAACATTGTGTGTATGTATTTTTGTCTCTACTGTCTCACTATAAATGAAAAAAAGAGCTTGTTTAGGCCTGCCACAATTCTGATATTTTGGTTGATTATTCACTGTCATACAAATAATAGGGATTTAATCATCTTTTCGGTTTCCTTTATCCCACTTTTATACGGTACAGTGAATATAAAAAGTGTATATAAGTATATGAAAGGGTTTTTTTGTGATGGAAAAAATGAAACCAAGATAAATCATGTCTGATCTTTTTCCACCTTTCATGTGATATAGCACCCAACAGAATTCAAGTGAAAAACAAATAGAAATTTAAGGACACAAAAAAGAAAAAACCTTACAGTAACCTGGATGCACACCCTTTAACTAATACTTTGTTAAAGCATCTTTTGCTTGTAATACAGCACTCAGTCTTTTTGGGTAAAGGTCGACCAACTTTGGCAATTTTATTCCATTCTTCTTTGCAAAAATGTTATCAGATTGTGAAGGGATCTCTTGTGCACAGCTTTTCAAGTCAGTCCACAGGTTTTCGATAGGATTTAGATCTAGGCTCTGACTGAGCCTTTCCAAAACGTTGATCTTCTTCTTCTGAGTCCATTCCTTTGTTGACTTGGATTTGTGCTTTGGGTTGTTATCATGCTGAATTTTTCTTCATCTTCGGCTGTTCAGCTATTCATGATTCCTTTTATCTTGACTAAAGCCCCAGTCTCAGCTGAAGAGAAGCAGCTCTATAGAATAATGCTGCCACCACCATGCTTCACCACGGGTATGGTGTTATTTGAAGTGAAGTGACCTGTGGCCAAGTATGGTGACCCATACTCGGAATTTGTGCTCTGCATTTAACCCATCCAAGTGCACACACACAGTAGTGAACACACACCCGGAGCAGTGGGCAGCCTTTTTTGCTGCGGCGCCCGGGGAGCAGTTTGGGGGTTCGGTGCCTTGCTCAAGGGTCTCACCTCAGTCGTGGTATTGAGGGTGGGAGAGAGCGCCGGTCATTCACTCCCCCCACCTACAATCCCTGCCGGACCTGAGACTCGAACCCACAACCTTCAGGTTCACCTTCGGGTTGCAAGTCCGACTCTGTTTTTGTACCAAACATATCTTTTAGAATTTTTTCACATTGCTTGAGGTGAGTTTATGTGTATTTTGGCCCTGCCCCATACAGATGAAGAATATGAGAGATTGTTGTCACATGCAGGGAGTGAGCAGTACTTAACAGATATTCCTGCAGCTCCTTTACTGTTTCCATAGGTCTCTTGGCAGCCTCCCTGGTAAGTTTTTTGTCTTGTCTTTTTGTCAACTTTAGAGCAACATCCTGTTCTTATTATGTCACTGTGGTACCCCATATTCTCAAATTGTTGATGATGGCCTTCACAGTGTTCAATTGTACATCTTCTTCTTTCAGCTGCTCCCGTTAGGGGTCGCCACAGTGGATCATTGGTCCCTATATTTGATTTGGCACAGTTTTTAGGCCGGACGCCCTTCCTGATGCAACCCTCCCCAATTTTATCTGGGCTTGGGAACCGGCACTGGGAGTGCACTGTCTTCCCTGGCCAGGACTCGACCCTGGGCCGTGGCAGTGACAGCACAGAGGCCTAACCACTAGGCCTCCAGGGACCCAGTGTTCCACTGTACATCTAATTGTTGGAAAATACTTTTGTACCCCTCTCCTGATTGATACTTTTTAACAGTGAGATCCAGTACAAGCTTTGTAAGCTCTTTGCGGAGCATGGCTTCAGCAATGGGATGCAACCAAGAAGATGTTAAGAAAATCCTACAGAAACAGCTGATCTTTATTTGGGGTTAATCAGAATCACTTCATTGAAGACAGGTGTATGATAAATTCTTTCGAACATGAGTTCTATCAACCATGATGTGTTGAAAACAATTCCTAGTAACAGGCTCTGCTGTAAATGTGTGTTCAGAGTATTCAGTGATTCATGTGTTCTGTCATGTTGTGTTACACAGAGGAAAAAATAAAAATAAAAATGTAACAGCAGAGGCATTGGCACACAACTGTACTATGCCATTTGTAGAACCTTCCAAAAACAGAAACACTGCCTGTGCTCTGAATTTCTCATTTTTCTACATTACAAGGATCCATCAAACATATTTGCACACTGTTTACATCCTGCGGCTTACCCTGGAGAGTGCACAGATAAGCATCCCACATCAATTTAAGGCAGTGAAAACACCTCTGGCAGGCTATCTCGCGTGCAGCAGGCACCCATGGGCCAGCATTAATGCGTTGACATGTGGCTTGTTTGCACATGTTGCTCTTTTGCCCCTGAACAATATGATTTTTTTTTTTTTGCCTGACTGCATGTGGGCTGGTGAGCATACAGAACTTATACAGAACTGATGATGGTTTAGGTGCAATTTTGTTAGACAACAACCCAATGTGTGATTGTTACATTTTTTTCCCAGTATTGTTTTTGTTTCTGGGTGTGATTGGGCAGAAAAAAAGCCTGATTTTAACAAAAATGAATAGGGTTGCTGAAACTGAAAAAAGTGACGTGTGGAATTAAGAAAGCAGACTACTGAGCAAGGTCATCCGACAAGGCTGAAGCTTGGCAAAGCAGTAGATTGTTTTCTGTTTGTGTTTTGTTTTACAGTACAAGCTGATTTTGGAAGGAAATGCTTGGGAATGGGGTGACCCTAAAAAAATGTGCTTTTGAGGCTTCCACACAACATACATTATGCTCTCTGTTAATAAACTCAGAGCTAATCCAATGTACATCATCTATAATGTAAACCTTCCATGCTCTGTCTCTGTTAATGTGTATTGAAGATTTAAGATTTGCAATAAAGTCGTTATTTCAAAGTTAATTCAAGTCAAATTTTGTGGTTTTACCTCAACAGGTTCTCAGAACCCCAGCAGCATGCGCTACAAATTCAACTTCATAGCAGATGTAGTGGAAAAGATTGCTCCTGCAGTCATTCATCTGGAGCTGTTCAGAAGGTGAGGAGATAATGTATTGGTCAATCAGATCCAGACTGACAACATAATGAAGGGAAACACTTGAGGTCCACGAGAGCATCTTATCAAGATTAAGGGGTCAGTTAGAGAGCTCTCACTTGTCTAACAGACCTGAACCAAGTCCTATAATACTGTCAAGCTATAATACTTTTAACGAAGTGTGTTGGAACTTGAGCAGAAGGTCACATTTTTAAGATCTCAGTTTCAGTCTAAGTACCTGCACTTCTGAGATATAATGGAAGCATCTCAGTCAAGTTCTCATGCTTCATGTTTCCTCAGATTGCCATATGCAAACCAGGAAATGCCGGTCTCCACTGGCTCAGGGTTTATTGTGTCAGAAGATGGCTGGATAGTCACCAATGCCCACGTACTATCCAACAAACAGCGAATTAAAGTGGAGCTGAACAGCGGTGTCCATTATGATGCTTCAATCAAAGATGTGGACCAGAAATTAGACATCGCTCTGATTAAGATTGACTCAGAGGTAGGTTAGATTATACCACTTGGTAAATGTGAGCGTTAGCATGTGTTTGATTGTTCGGAAAAATGGTGATAAGTGATTAGTCATTGGGAACAATGGTGATCAGCGAATGGTCACTGGGTACAATGGTGATCAGTAACTGGTCATTGGGAACAATGGTGGTCACCGAATGATCACTGGGTACAATGGTGATCAGTAACTGGTCATTGGGAACAGTGGTGGTCAGTGATTGCTTGTTGGGGACAGTGGTGTCAGGGACTGGTCTTTGGGTACAATGGTGATCAGTGATTGGTCGTTGGGGACAGTGTGTTCAGTAACTGATCATTGGGAACAGTGGTGATCAGTGATTGGTCGTTGGGGACAGTGGTGATCAGTGATTGATCATTGGGGACAATGGTGTCAATGACTGGTTATTGGGAACAATGGTGATCAGTGATTTGTCGCCGGGAACAACAGCTTACACCGGCACAACTCAGTCAAGTTTTAGACACTGGTTGTGAGTCAACTGAACCTGCACTCTCAACTCGTAACCAGCAGCTGTGATAGCAAGCTGGAGAGGCATATCAATTGCAGGACAGTTGTTAATGTCTACCCAAAAAGTCATTAGATTTGGCACTAGGACCTTTTTAAATAAAGGTCCAAAAAAATTGCCAAATGTAAATTAACAATACTGCTCTCAGCAAAGAGAGCAAATATGATTTATTTCAAATTTTAAGTGTTTTAATCAAACCTATAATTAAAAAGACCATATAAAGAATAGCATGAACACTAGTAGGTTATGTCCAAAAAATTTAGATCAACTGAATGAAATAAACAAAAAACAAACTGCAGTTTGAAGATGCAAGATGAAATCCAACCCCAGTAATTGGTGATGTTTGTTTCTATGTGTTGACTTTGCCTCAGGGAAGGCCAGGAGGTGAAAAGAAAAAAATCACCTAATAGGCTTGGGCCACCACAGCAGTGTGTTTCATCATCGTGGATCGTTACCTAGCCATTGCTAGCCATCACTGAGTAATGTCAAAGGATCAGGAAGCCAATTAATCCAGTAGGAGTCACATAAACATCTCAGCAAGATTCAATTCCAGTCCTTGAAATGTCAATATCTTGCCTGTATTTGTCAGTTGTTCTTATATAAATTTATTATTTTGCCTCATGCCACTATGGTGGCTAAGGCATCTGTAACAAGAAACGTTTATTGCATGGAGCTCTGTCAGATCTTAGCAAAACAGAGTAGCATGTTAACATTGCCTTTACACTATTATGGCCACAGCTTCTGATTAAATCCCATCCTCTCGTATTGAAGGCCACTGCAACCTTGTGCAGGACAGCATATGACTCACTAGTAATCAGTCACAAGCAGTGTACAGACTTCATGAGATGGGCTAAAATGTTTTCGGCAGATGGAAGTAGCCACCGGCACCCTGGAGAGGGATAGGCAGGGATGGAGCAAGGGATTGTGCCCGAGGAGACCAAGTAATAAAGTGAGAGTGTCATTCTCTCTCTGATAAAAATGCTCCCCACTAGGCACGGACAAGGGAAGACAGGCAGAGACATGTTTCCTTGCAGCCCTTTACTTTTCACTTCTTGGGAAAAAGCTTTCAGGCGGCGCTGCAGGAGTGCAGATGGGAGGTGTTTTTGGGAGGTTTTTTCAATAGGCAGCTCATTTTTTTGCCAGGACATTAATAAGTACAACACACACATATCAAACTCCATTGAAGTCATTCTCTGAAATTACACTGAAATCTACTTACAATGGAGAGTATTTTTTTAGTAACAGAAGGAAAGACAGCCTTTTTTTTGTCATGATACATATGCACAAGTACATGCTTTTCTTATTTTTCCTTTAGGTAATATTGTAGTATGTCCATGGTAATATGACTGTGGTCTAAGTTCAACTTTCCAGAACTGAAAAAAGGGTTTTAATCAATAATGTCACATGAAAAGTTTGGGAATTGACCAATAGTTAATATTTAATATTTCTTCTTGATAACTCAGAGAAACTTGTGGAAGGGTAAAACAAGTATTGCTACTTACATGTCATGAATAACACTATCAAAACTACAACATGTATACAGAATAAAGAGATAACTTGATAATATTATAATTTTGAGAAACTTGAGATGCTGACACAACTTTCATTTAAAATCCTTTTGGCTTTAAGTGGCAGAAACAGGCTTGTGTCAATTTAATACTTGCCCTTTGGTTGTATTCATTTACACATGCAGTTGCTGCTTTCAAAGTAGCTTTCAGGATACAAGCACTAATTCAATCTATTTGCATACAACCTGCACTGTCTTAGGTAGAAACACTAAAAACTAAAGCAAGAAAAATGGACAATAATGTGCTATTTTTCTCATTTGCAACGCAAAATCTTCCACAGACCCTGTTAGTAAATCAGAGTAACAGACGGTTACTGTAATTAGACATTTCTGTAGCTGTTATAAAGTTTGCACTTTATAAAAAAATCAGTCCAGATTGTTTGGTGTGTGCTGGTGGGTACTGGACATCGAAAAGAGAACAATGGTCTCGGGTAGGCAGGTAGATTCATATGTGTAGCCATACTGATGGCATCTTAACTTCCCTTTGTGTCCATGTAGGAGGCTTTGCCTGTCCTGTCTCTGGGCCGCTCCTCTGACCTGCGGCCGGGTGAGTTTGTGGTGGCTGTCGGCAGCCCGTTCTCACTGCAGAACACCGTCACAACAGGCATCATCAGCACCACGCAGCGTGGCAGCCACGAGCTCGGCCTTCACAACTCCGACATGGAGTACATCCAGACTGACGCCATCATTAATGTAGGTGCAAGGAAGGATACAACCAAGAGTTTGGCTGAGAGAATAAATCAATTACAGGACACATTAGTTAAATAGACTACTACGTGAGTCTGACTGAGTGATGTGTGATTGGCTTTCAAAAGGACATGATGTGTTAATGTCTGAGTAATAGACTCAGGTTTATTAGTAGGCACAGGACAGTTCAGGGCAGAGGTTTGCATCCCCTATAGATTTAAAGTTGTTTTTTTTTTTGTTTTTTTTAGAGGAAATGTACCCCCATATTACAAAAAAAAAATTCAAGCTGTGCCAATAGAACAAGATTTTTAAAAGGTTGAAATGAGTAAAAATGTCTAGAAATAGGTTCAATAATTTGTAATCTTATAGT